TGTGTGTGTGTGTGTGTGTGTGTGTGTGTGTGTGTGTGTGTGTGTGTTTAAAAGCATTTCTATGCAAACTTCCAGAAACAAAACCAGTCAAGTGAAACTAGGACACAAGACCGCACCACGGAGGCAGGATATTTTAGTTTGCGATCCGAAGAAGACTTAGGGCACGGTTTGTTCTCTCTGTCACAAACACCATCTTGCATTTTTTGACCTCCCCTGCAGGAAAACTCTGCTGCAGGTGGGATTCCCACACACCCATTTCATATGAGGATGCTGAAAAAAAGGTTGCTAAGAAAGGAGATGCTATTGGGGGGGTAGGGGAAAAAAAACTGGGTTAAAACACCAGAATAGAGAATGTATGGATTTAACTCCCTGGCTGGTTTTTACGCTATGAATGCGGTTTAGGAGTTTGTGGTTCAATGGAGAGGCAGTCCTTGACTTACGACTGGCTGATTAGCAATTATTCAAAGTTACGACAGTCATCCATCCCCATCCCTGCAGTCGTAAGCGCTCAGCACCTGGTCCATAATTACTTCTGATTTTCCAGCAACAATGGCCCACAGCAAACCATGTGTTTGCTTTAAGACAGAGGTCTCCAAAGTTGGCAACTTTAAGACTTGTGGACTTCCAACTCCCAGAATTCTGGGAGTTGAGGTCCACAAGTCTTAAAGTTGGCAACTTTGGGGGCCCTGCTTTAAGACAACCAAAAAGGTCCTAAAATGAATGACTTGCTTTATGACAGTTGTGAATTACAACCATAATGAACAGACTCCATTACCATTTTAAATTAAGGATTATCTGTATTGGGGAATCCAGCTGTTTGTGACTGTGGTATGAAACTGACCATCATTTTACGTCCTAAGATAATGGGTGCAATCCATTTTATGCCTGGCTTGGTAATCTCAGTTTAAGGAAAGGCAAGTCTGCTTTGAGTTGAGCCTGATTTGGCTTCACAGTCATGACCACGTGCTTTCTTTGGCATGATAAGTGTTTTTTTTTAAATTCCCTTCATAGTACAGGTAGTCCCCGACTTACAACGGTTTGTTTAGAGAACTATTCAAAGTTGCAATGGCACTGAAAGAAGTGACTTATGAACGTTTTTCACACCACCACTGAAGCCTCTCCATGGTCAGTAATCAAAATTCAGATGCTTGGCAACTGACTCATATTTATGACAGTTGCAGTGTCCCAGGGTCATGGGATCTCCTTTTGTGACCTTCTGACAAGTCAGAAACAGAGCCAGTCAAGCAAAGGTAAGCCAAATTCATTTAACTGTGTTCCTAATTTAATAGCTGCAGTGATTCAATTAAGAACTACCACAAGAAGGATCAAAATGGGGTAAAATTCAAAGGACCTTGATGGTCTTTTAGTCCAACCTCCTGCCCAAGGTAGCCATTCTGAATAAATGGCTCTCCAGTCTTTTCCTGAAACCTCTCGTGATGGAGCACACTATCTCCCCAAAAAAACAAAACAATTTTTCTAACTTTAATTATAACACAATCATATAAAGGGACGTGGTGGGTCAGTGGCTAAGACGCTGAGCTTGTCGATCAGAAAGGTCAGCGGTTCGGCGGTTCGAATCCCTAGTGCCGCGTAACGGAGTGAGCTCCCGTTATTCATCCCAGCTTCTACCAACCTAGCAGTTCGAAAGCATGTAAAAATGCAAGTAGAAAAATAGGGACCACTTTGGTGGGAAGATAATAGCGTTCCGTGCGCCTTTGGCGTTTAGTCATGCCGGCCACATGACCAGGGAGATGTCTTCAGACAGTTTTGTAACTCCTCTTCGGCTTTGTAACGGAGATGAGCACCGCCCCCATGAGCCAGAAACGACTAGCATGCATGTGCAAGAGGAACCTTTACCTTTTTAATCCTATAAAACATTCTCTAATTTTAAATATTGATTTATCCAGCTACTCACTCACCGGTTGGAACAATGAACATAAAATTAAATGCCAGCAGCAAAATAACCACAAATAAAATAATACATGAAGAACTTCTGCTTGAAAATGAGCTAAATTCTAAATCCATATGGCAATAGGCTACCAAAAAAATAAATAAATCACATCCCGAAATCACAACCCCTCCAAATACTAACCAAGCTGGATCCTACTTAGCTTTCAAACCCTGAAAAGATTACCAAAGTATTGCAACCTGTATACTTTGGGAAGCAATCTATGGAAGGACACCTTAGTTACTATTCTTCCGCAGAGCCTCCCCTCAGTACCACCGCACATCTCGAAGGAAACAGGGAGGTTGGGACAAAGTTTGCAGGGTAAGAAAAAGTATCAGAGATTAAACGACGAGATCAGACAGAGGGTTAATAAAGTAATCTTCATTAGGATTAATAATGCCAACTCTAATTGACAACACAAACTAGCTGAAATGCACAACGTTTGCACGCATTCTCTGGCTCTAAACAAGCAGAAAATAATATGAAAAATATTTGGAAATAGCATCACTAAAATTCTATAGACTGGCTGAAGAGTTTTCTAGGCGCAGGGTCATCAAAATGTCTTACTACAGGACAAGAAAGTCACGATGTGCTGCTCTTATTGCTTCAATCTTTTCTCTACTTAGTCATGCAACAGTTCCTTGAGTGTGGCTGGGTATAAATTTTGGCTACCTATGTCATGGGAGAGGAAAGATGCAAAGTATTTCCCTATAACGTCTCTGCATTGAAAGCAGATTATCAGCAATAAAACTGTTTCCTATGAAGCTTAAAGATTTAAAAAAAAAATCTAGCAGGTTTTACTAGGTAGAATTTTCCATGAAAAGTCTAGCTGCAACTTGACGGCTGCATGAAAAATAGTCTCCAATGTTCCTCTACAAATTAAAGAGATTCTAGACAACAACTTCAAAAGGATGGTGCAAAAGGATGGGTTGCTATGCAAAAAGGGAGACATTATCTCAGGGTAGATAATACAGGTAGTCCTCGATTTACGACCGCAATTGAGCCCAAAATTTATGTTGTTAAGTGAGACATTTAAGTGAATTTTGCCCTGTTTTACAACACAGTTCATACTAAATCCCAGAGATTCTTTCTACCCATGTAACCATCAATTATCACATCAAGGAATATAAAAGGATGGTGGAATCCACAAAGATCTGTAAATCTAGCATCCATGAGTGCTCAGATGCCTTCAGAATTCCCAAGATAGATGCTTTGTCCTCCTCCCTTACTGGGATGAGGTAGCAATAGCAATAAGCATTCAGACATATACTGCTTCACAGTGCTTTTACAGCCCTCTCTAAACAGTTTACAGAGTCAGCAAATTGCCCCCAATATTCTGGGTCCTCATTTTACCCACCTTGGAAGGATGGAAGGCCAAGTCAACCTTGAACCTGGTGAGATTCGAACTGCCAAATTGCACTCAGCTGGCAGTCAGCAGAACAACCTGCAGTACTGCATTCTAACCACTGCGCCACCGCAGGTATTACTTAGAGATGCTGCTAAATAAAATCTAAATACTGAATGTGCCTTATACCTATTGATTGAGTAACTGATTTTGGGGAATCACCTGAATCTCATTTCAAAACCTGTTATGTCTTTAGCAGCAAATCCCATAAAAACAATATACACTGTGTAAAAGCAATTTCCCCAAAATGAGGCCTCCAGACTAGGGCAAGGTTTGAGTTTTTGAAGCATCCACTTGGATCTATTTTATTGGGTGATCAATGTCCTTCCTTCCTTCCTTCCTTCCTTCCTTCCTTCCTTCCTTCCTCCCTCCCTCCCTCCCTCCCTCCCTCCTTCCTTCCTTCCTTCCTCCCTCCTTCCTTCCTTCCTTTGCTTCCTTCCTTCCTTTCCTTCCCCTCCCTTCCTCCCGGACCTCTATGATTCTATGAAATACATTTATTCTTGGGGAGGGACCACTTACCGGAGTGAGAAGCTCTGGGGTGGAGATGGGAGAACAATCACCATTCAGCTTGATCCCACTTCCTAAATCGAAATCACAGATTTTCACTGGGGACACCTGGTGTTGGGGGCAAAGGGGGAGAATGAGAGGGGGGGGAAGGTCATTTATATGGAAGAAAACTCCATGCTAATTAGAATTTGACATTCTGCCATAAATTCAATCCCTGTTTGTTATGCACAATCTAAACAGTTCGTGTTTGTGCTTTATTAGCCCACTTATCAAAAGCATCTTGCATCAGCAAGTTCCTTCAACCTCCCTATCTTGCAGCACACGTGACCCCCTCAGAGACTGGGAACTAACCAAGGAGCAATTAAACTACTGCTCACCTGATTTGAACTCTCACAGAGAATATTTTCTGGTTTTAAATCTCTATGTGCTATTCCTGTAATAAAAGAAAGAAAGAAGCTTAACATTAGCAGTTAATACTTTCTGCTTTTGACTGGAAGAACATGACCGAGCAGCTGCCGGAGTGGAAAAAACAATGGAAAAGTTGAGCCAAGTTGTGTAATCTGATCATGCTAAAGGAAGCCATAAGTCCATCTAACCAAGCATCAAACCATGGTCAGCACAAACACCCTTAACACCTAATGTTTACAGAAGCCAGAAGGGTCCTGTCCCTTGTTTTATTCCAGATCCCTTTCAGAAAGCTACTTGGGAAGTAAAGAGTACATGTAATTAAAAGGTCTCCCAATTGTCTCTTCCTCATGTGGAACTGAATACTCCCAACAGTTCTCTCCAGTGCATAAACGGTTCATTTATTAGTTTAGGTCAGTAGTCCTCAACCTTTGCGGCTTGGCAAGCCTGCCTTTTTGGGAGGGGGGAGGAGGTAGAGGGGAACTAGGCCACATGAGTGGTGGGCCAGCAAACGCAGCTCTACCGATGCAAGCGAGAAGTTTTTGGTGGCAGGGTTTCACACTCCTTCAGGCTTCTCCGTGCCAAAAGCTTTTCCAAGGGGACTGAAGGCCTGAAGCAGCACGAGATCCCTCCCCACAAAGCCTTTCGTCCATTTGCAAAAGCCAGTGCAGAGAAGAGAAGCCGCTGGGGGCACGGTCTCGTGTTCCTTCAGGTTCACTGAAGCTGCCCGATGCTCCAAAAGCGGATCGGATGTCCTGTGCAGGCAGCCTCCGAGAAGCTGAGGAAGGCGCACTCATCCCAGTCAGCCTCTGTTCTCACCGCTTGGCTTTTGGAACATTGGGAGCAGGTGGTTTGGGGGCCCAGCTTGCGGTGCAGGGGGGGAAGCCTTTGGGGTACCACTCATGCGAGTGGAGCTGTGTGATGTGTCAGCCTATCGCTTGCCTGGCCCAGTTCCGAATAGGCTGCGGCCTATAGTGAGTTGGGAACTGTATTGCTCAGGGATTGGGGACTCCTGGTTTAGGTGACAGAGCCTAAGCAACTGTTATTAAAATATTTATATCCCATCTTATTAGTGACAGCAACATCCATCAGTGGTGCATTTCACATATTTTTACCACTGGTTCGGTGGGTGTGGCTTGGTGGGCGCGCTTTGCGCGCAAGCACACACTTTGCACATGCGCACCAAATGCATACTTTGCGCATGCGCAGAGGCTTTCCGACTCGCCTTCTACAAGCCTGCACTCTCTCTCCCTGTCGCTTCAGCAGCTGCTGTGAGGCAATCTGCTGTGCCGCGCAAAGCAGCTGCGCTTCAAAAGCAGGACATAAAGGTTAGTATGGGAGCCCAGGCGGGCGGGTGGGCCAAACAGCAGAGCGTTGGAGAAAGCCGTTTTGGTCTCCATTGCTCATCGGTGCTACCGGCTCGCCAGAACAGGGCCGAGCTGGTAGAATACCACCACTGCATCTAATGTAGTTTACTATTAATGTAAACTTTAAAAAATATATCTTAAAAATAGATTAAGACATCAACATTAAGCTCAGCTGGTATGCTCATTTAAATAAAATAAAAAAAATAGCATAGCAAAATGATGAGGCCACAACAATTTTGAGAGACAGGAATTTTCAAATTTGGAAACCGGCATAGAAAATGATCCCTATCACATGACTATTAGCTAACACTAGATCTAATAGTAGTCGAGGTCTAACAGTATAGAGTCTAAAGTTGTCACCCATTGATGATTTGGTTAGTTGGGACAGATGACATTAAGAGAAAACAGTCCTTCAGAGTTCTTGGCCCTAAATGATGCTCTCTATAAACTTTGAAAGCCATCTTAAGTTGATGGCCCTTGTGAAGGAGTTCTGCTAAATCTACTTCACGCAAGGAAATCTTCTTATCTGAGTATTCAGCCAGAGGCCTCTGCTTCCCAACTGCTTGTACTAAAGGAAAGAGCTAATAATTACTTAAGAAGTATTAATTATGGTCTAAAGCAGCGGTCGCCAACTGGTGGGCTGCGGCCCACTGGTGGGCTGTGAGAAAATTTTGGTGGGCTGCAGAGAAATCTCATCCCCAGAGCACCCCCACAAAGCAATTAATCCAGGCTGCGCAGAAACACAAGGCTGCGCCACCCATATGGCCCGCATACTCACTCCTTACTCGGTAAACTTGCCTGTTAAATTGCTATTTTTCCTTTTTCCGACCATCATCTGTTCTGCTGTGCTAGGATTTAGATTAGCTAGGAAGCAGGAAATGGTTGGATTTCTTGATTTCTAGCTAGTCTTTAGATCTTCGGCTCAGCACAGCCGAACCTCCCTTAGGACTGAAGGTTTGCTTGCAAGCAAATTCAGTGCAGACTCATGGCAAGCAAATTTGAGAGACTGAGCTAGCCGATGGCAGATAGATAGATCACTGAATGATTCTGTGAGCAACTCAATCTGCCTGCTTTGCCTGATTTGGGGTAAAAGTTGCTCTTTTTTAATAAAAAAAATTCAATATCTATATAAATATTTATAATATTTACATACAAGCCATGCCCAGTCACATGACCACCAAGCCACACCCACAGAACCAGTTAGTGGTCCCAAGGATCTAAAATTATGAGTTTGGTGGTCCCTGAAGTCTAAAAGGTTGGCGACCCCTGGTCTAAAGCAACCAGATAAGCCTGGGTTTCATTGCATTTCTGTAAATATTTCCCCAACTGAAAAATACGTATTTACAGATAGGATAAGAGAAGAGGAAAAGGCATATTATGGAAAAGTGCCCAGATCAGGCCTTAGCAGATTCCTGGACATCATAAATGTTGTAGTAATACAGTGTGAAAAAGATGACAGGCCAATGCAGATAGCTTGAGATTTACTGCAGCAGTGAGATCTACTCAGTACAGTGTTTCTCAACCTTAGGACTTTGAAGATGTGTGTATGGACATCAACTCCCACAATTCCTCATCCACCATACTTGGTTGAGAAACAATAGCTTAGTGCAGGGGTGTTCAACCTTGACAGCTTTTAAGACTTGTGGACGTCAACTCCTAGAATTCTGGGAGTTGAAGTCCACAGGAATTCTTGGAATTGAAGTCCATAGGTGCTAAAGTTAACCAAGGACCCTTGGCTTATTGGATTGCAAAGAGATTTAAGTTGCACCATGGAATGCTTTGGAAAACAAAACAAAAAATACCTTGCCCCCAGCATTCATTTTTTTACCCACCTTTATTGTGCAAGAAATTAAGGGCACTGGCTATGTCGTGCACCACCATGCTGGCCTCTAGTTCATTGAAATGGCGTCGACGGTGGATATGGGTTAAGATGGAGCCTGAAAAGAGACATTGAAAGGCCCAATTAAGCCATGGACTAAGATCTGAAGCTTAAAGATGCAGATCAGATGTGTCCAACTTTGGCAATTTTAAGACCTGTGGACTTCAACTCCCAGAATTCCCCAGCCAGCTATGCTGGCTAGAGAATTCTGGGAGTTGAAGTCCACAGGTCTTAAAATTGTCAAGACTGGACAGCCCCGATGTAATTATATATGGACAATTATAATATGTACAATTTATGGTTTTTTTCCCCTCCTTACTTAAATTGGAAAAAACGAGGCTTTAAAAATAAGAAGCTCTCGCTCTCTCCCTCTCCCACCTACAAAAGCCATTCATTTGGTCAGTGACTCACCTCCTCTCATCTTCTCAAACACGAGGTAGAACCGGTCCTCTTCTTCAAAAAACTCGATCAGCTCCAGGATGTTCCTGAAAAAAGACAGGGGAGGGCGGGACAATAATTAGGGATAAGAAGAGACAGGTAAGAGAAAGAAATTAAATCCATTTCATTTTCATTCAAAAATCAATCCTGATGATCGACCTCAGGGGTCCCCAAACTTGGCAACCTTCAGATTTGTGGACTTCAACTCCCAAAATTCTGCATAGCTGGCTGGAGAATTCTGGAAGTTGAAGTCCACAAGTCTTAAAGTTGTCAAGTTTTGAGACCTCTGATCTACCCATATTTTCCTTCACGGCAGGCAAAACACTTCTCACGCAACCACAATGCAGAGAACAAAAGTCCAGACTTTCCTTTCCCTGGAACTAATATTCAGAGGTAGAGTGCCCCTTGACTGTTTACCTATATACAACCATTGCAGCATCCCCTTTGATCCCCATTCATAACCATCCCAAGCCAGATTTCGACAAGCAAGATCAACGGGAGTAGCCAGATTTAACTTAACAACTGCAGGATTGACTTAACAACCACAGTGATTTGCTTAACAGCTGCGGTAATAAAAGGTCATAAAACGAGGCACAGCTCAATTAGCAACTATGTTGCTTAGCAACAGAAATGTTAGGCTCCATTGTGGTCATAAGTCAAGGATTACTTTCAACCGATTTACAGGTAATCCAGTTCGTTTAGTGATCGTTCGAAATTACAATGGCACTGAAAAAAAAAGTGATTTGTGGCTGTTTTTGACATTTATGGCCGTCACGGCACCCTCACAGTCACATGATCAAAATTCAGTCACTTGGCAACTGACTCATATTTATGACGGTTGCAGTGTCTTTGGGGGGGATGTCATGTGATCCCCTTTTGTGACCTCCTAACGAGCAAAGTCAATGGGGAAGCCCGATTCACTTAACAACCGTGTTATTAATTTAATAACTGCAGTGATTCACTTAACAGCTATGGCAAAAAAAGTTCGTAAAATGGGACAACCCCCCCCCACTTAACAAATGTCTCAGCAACAGAAATTTTGGGCTCCGTTGGTGGTCCTAAGCTGAGGACCACCTGATTACTGCAGTCAGCATTAATGTCAGCTTTGGAAGCCATGGTAGCACCAGACGCTTCCACACTGCCACATTCTTGAGCCTGGGAAAATGGGAGGGGGGAAATATCTTGGAGGATATGTGGTTAGACATAATAGCATTCTTCTTCTAAGTCAAGGTCGTGTTATTTCTGCACCTGGTTGAGAGGATGTCTCAAATTGGGACAGATGATGATTGGGGCATGTGATGAGATGGTGGGTGCAGGGGCTGGATTTGTTTTGTTTTTTTAATTTATTACAAGGAAACCCAGAACTTTCAAATTCGGGATTTCCCAGATGTGCCAGTTTACTACCCAAATAAAAAAGAACTTTTGAGAGGATGTCCGTCTCGGAGTCATTCGTTGGAGGGGAGGTTTTCTGGAATGCTGACAATTAATACAACCAGGATCTCATCTAGATACAGCAAAGATCAAGCTTAGAACTGCCCACTACCTGTGTCCTTGGCACTGGTACAGCATTTCCACTTCTCGAAATACCCGATTTCGGATGTGTCCAAGGCGCTTCTCAATTATCTTTCAAAGAAAAAATAAAATAAAGGGAAAGGCTACAGTTACAACAACACCAAGCTGAAGCAAATAGTCTGCAGGCAAAACTTTGTTTCTTTCAACAAATAAAAGAGCAACGATTTTGACACCAAGCACACAAACGCTTCTCAAACTTGGCTCCCTCCAACTGCTCTTCTAATCCTCCCTGGGGTGGGACAGGGCTGATCTGAAGTCATATTCCATGGGGGAGGGTGGTGGTGGTATCAGCTATTATGCTCTATGATCTTGTATGAAACACGAGCAAAGTACAACAGGCGCTGGAGATAATGTTTATGGAGGCATTTACAAGATAGCCTTAAAGCCAACCCAATCTCATAAACACCCCAACACTCTCCTGCAAAGACAAATAGGCTGTTTCTTTATTCAACTTTATGCCCCATGAAGAAAAGGCCTTTTTTTTTTCCAACTGGTAATTTTAAAAAACCCAAGCTTGTCTATTTAAAGTATACAGCTGAAGGGCGAGTTAAACCATCCCCCCAGCCTGGGTGCTTTCTCTCCTTGCAATTCTCATGGCCCTCTTTCCCCCACTGCCACGCCTCCCCCTTCCTAATCCCTTTAGCCTTTTGCAATCTGTAAAACAAATTGGGCCTTTTGACTCAAGAATGGCAAGATTCCACCTGTGAAACTGTATTCAAAAAGAGTTTGGGGGATCAGACATGTAAGTCTCTGCGCTCCCCCCCAGCCTTGCGCAATAACAACAGTAACCTCAATGAGGTATTCAGAGCAGGGAGGGAAGGAATTCTCCAGCTGTTCTCTGAACAACTGATCTTTCTTTTTTTCTTTCTTTCCCCCCTTCCTTTGCTTCCTTCCTTCCTTCACTTTTCTTTCCTTCTTCCTTCCTCTTTTTGTTCCTTCCTTCTCTTTCCTTCCTTCCCTTCTTTCCGCCTTCCTTATTTCCTTCTTTTCCTTTCCTTCCTTCCTCCTTCCCTCTTCTTTCCTCCTTCCTTCCCTTCTTTCCTCAATCCTTTCCTCCTCTTTCTTTCCTCCTTTCTTTCTTTTCTTTCTGCCTTTCTCCCAAAAGTTTTTTTTTTTCACCAGCCTACCCCTTTGCAACTGCAACAATGTGCAAATGGGTGGGGCATGAACTTTGAAGAGCAAAAGGGTGGAAAATGGATTGTTCACGGGGGGCCCACACTTCTTTACTCCCCAAATTGCCACTTTACAGCCAGCAATGACGAATGAAAGAGTTGTTGTTTCTCGCCGTCTGCCAACTTAAAAAAAAAAAAAAAAAAGAAGCCACACTCCCCAGAGAGACAGGAACGCAGTGTGCAGCAGCTGTGTTCTCCTCCCTCTGGTCTGGGAGGTTTTCAACATCGCCACCCTTTTGGCTTCTCTTTCCACCATCAGATTTACAACTGTCCTCTTCTCCCTTCCCCCGAAGCCATGGCATCTGCACAACACAAACACACGCACACACACATGCACACACAACCGGGCTGGTGCCAGGTTCTCCCTGTCCCATTTTAGATCATCTGCGTCACTCTTCCTGCCTTAATACATGCTGGCAGGAGGGATTAAGAGGGGGGGGGAGGCTGGGGGAGGAACAATTGGGTTTGAAAAGAGAAGGTCAAACTGGGAGAGGCAGCTGAGAGGGAGATGAAATTTTAAACGGAAAACTAAAATGTAGGCCTCTTGACAGAGAGCTGCCGCAGAGGAATTGGAGGGGGGGATTGCTTGCTTTGTTTATTTTTTTATCAAGCAGTTTATTTACCAAACAATTGGTTTAAAGAGATTAAGTCCTTCATAAATTAAGTGAGGAAATTTATACTGAATTGAGCTGTAAGGATCTTGGACCAAAGACATAAATCTCAGAATCTTATGGCTGGAAGGAGTCATAACAGAATAACAAGAATTGGGAGGGACCTTGGAGGTCTTCTAGTCCAACCGCCTGCTCAGGCAAGAAACCTTATTACCATTGCAGACAAATGGTTGTCCAATCTCTTCTTAAAGAAGAGTTTCTTAAAAACGTCAATGTGGGAGCATTCACAACTTCTGGGGGCAAGTTGTTCCACTGATTTAATTATTCTGTCAAGAAATTCCTCCTTAGTTCTAAGTTGCTTCTCTCCTTGATCAGTTTCCACCCATTGCTTCTTGTCCTGCCTTCAGGTGCTTTGGAGAATAGCTTGACTCCTTCTTCTTTGTGGCAGCCCCTGAGATATATTGGAACACTGCTATCGTGTCACCCTTAGTCCTTATTTTCGTTTTCATAGAGCATTCAATTCTCTGCTCAAAACAAAAAAAAAAAAAGAATAAAAGAATCCCAAACAGATGGCTAGACATAAGCCACCACAGGGCAGCTCACTCCCTTTTCTGGGGAACTGGTTCCACTGGGAATCTGTCTGTGGTCATATAAATTTAAAAAATTAATAAGAAAGCTTCTTCCCCGCCCCCCACCCTAATGTTTACACATTCATTTCTTGGAACCATTCCTTGCCGTACGGTGCAATAGGATTTGTAGTTTAAGCCCTTCTGCAAGATGCTAGTTTGGGGACAACAAATTTATTTATTTTATTGATTAAATTTATCAGCTGCTCATCTCGTTTTGAAGCGACTTTGGGAGGCAAATAAATTTAAATAAATTACCAGCTTTGGACCCCAAAAGTTTCTGTCATTGTCCCTTGGTTAGTCTGGCACTGGTCGTGACAGCCTGTTTGTTCCCCATTTGTAATTGACTAAATACAGCTATTCATTTAAGAATTCAAAAGCAGGCTTGATTTTATGTTAATATCTTAGGCAGAAGAGTCACGGGGCAGTTTTCCCAAGCAGGTTTTAAAAAGCAAAATAAAAATGGAGAGGCAGAGGAAAGGAAGGGACTAGACAATCTTAATCATTTCTCTCAAAGACCAAGAAGACAGACATCCTGTTTATTTTAGGCATGACTTTCGAAAGAAGCTAGAAACAGAAGAGCTGTTTCATTCTTACTAATCATGCAGTTATCTGGCTGGCATGTTATTACCAGAGGAACTAATCAGCTGATATGTAAAGTATACCTCTCTTGCACATAAATTGCATTTGCATCTTCCTAATGCTTGAACAGCTTTAATAAATATAAATAATAAATATACTCTGGAAGGAATAATCAACCTTTATTTTCCAGATCATGGAATAAATATCCTGAGATGCCTTGGCAATGACAATTAGCCACATTTCCAACAGATGGTGGTAATTATTGAAAAGAAACTCTACTAACTCTACACTGTTGTTGTTTTTTTAAAGGGTATCATCTTTCTGAAAGTAAGCAGCTAACGTTCTGGAAAATGCACTAACTTTCTACTTGCAAATAATCTTTTTCAACATTCAGCTAAGCATTGCAAGCTGACTTTCACTTCACACTGGCATAAATTACTGAAAACTTTTTTACAGCTTCGTTCAACCAACACTGGGTTTCCACAAATTTAAAGGAACTTGTGCATAATTCTGTCTTCACCACTTCCCAACCAGATGGAGTATGGTCCGTGTCTGTTGTAAGATAATGTAATATTTTCTGGAATGGGCTGCTACCTGGAATGTAACATCTGTTACAGGTAGACCTCAACTTACAGCCATTCGATTAGCCGTTGTTTGAAGTTACAGCACTGAAAAAAGGTAATTATGAGAGATTCTCACACTTATGACTGTTGCAACATCACTGTGGTCCTGTGATCAAAATTGGGGTGACTGGCAGCTGGCATGTACAGGTAGTCCTTGACTTACAACAGTTCCTTTACTGACCATTCAAAGTTACAACAGCACTGAGAAAGGTGGCTTATGGCTGTTTTTCAGAGTTACGACTCTTGCAGCATCCCCATGATCAAAATTCAGATGCTTGGCAACTGACTCCTATTTATGGCCGTTGCCATGGCCCAGAGTCATGTGATCCCCTTTTGCGACCTTCTGAGAAGCAAAATCAATGGGGGAAGCCAGATTCACTTAACAACCGGGTTAGTAACTTATCCACTGTTCACTTAACAATTGAGGCAAAAAAGGGCGTAAAATGGGGCAAAACTCACTTTTTAAAAATGTCTCACTTACCAACAGAAATTTTGGGCTCAACTGTGGTCATAAGTTGAGGACTACCTCTATTTTAAATAACGCAATCAAGGTTTGAGGAAGGAAGCCTCTAGGTAGCAGGATTTACCATTTCAGAGAAATACTGTCTTTACCAATTTACCATTTCAGAGAAATACTATCTTTACTAAAACCTTCTTCACCACGCTGATCTCTTTGAAATGTTCTCAACCACCCTGCAAGATTAACTAACGCAAGGCAGATAAAAACCAACTACCTCCCAAATCTCCAGTCATTTGATTAGAAGACTTTGTGCACATTTTTGCTTGCATCAGCCGAAGCCTCCAAACAAGCAGTAGATGTGACACAGATGTAGGCAGACTGGAACTGGAGGTTTGTTTGTTTTTTATTTACAAAGTTAGATTAAGGTTAAGAACCTGAGTTTACCAAGATCAAAGCAAATTGCCTAGTGTTTGGGAGCTAGTTACGAATCCCAGCTCTACTCTTCAATCAAAATTTGCAAAGCCTGCCACAGCATTTGTAACACCTCAGCATTTTCCTCAAAATAGTTTCAAACAGGAATGTTGGTGTTGCCCGATCCTCAAGAAACTTTCTCCAATGCCAGAGAACTGCAGAAGCATTTCTCAAAAACATGTCTGCTGACGACAACGCACCAGGATTCTCTTATTGCAGGAGACCAAAATTCAGATATTCTTCCCTCCACGGACAGATTCCAGTTCCACTTTTTTGGCTTCAGTGTTTGGGAGAAACAACACTGAATTATTTCCCAGAATTCCCTTTCCTCAGAGAAGCCACCACAACCGAGAGTTCATACCTTCACTGCGTACTCCTTATTAGTAATGAGGTTAACACAGGCCTGGACTTTTGCATGTGCTCCTTCTCCGAGGACCTCTTCTTGGAGCTGGTAAACATCTGGATGTGGCAGCAGAAAGAGAAGGGCAGGGAGAGAAAGCATATTCCAAAATCAGACTTCAAAAGAGTGTTCAGACAGCACATCTGCTGATCTAGGGGAAAACCCACAGAAGGCCGAAAATGGAAAAGTAAACTATTCCAGAGTTCACCCACATCTAAGTTCTTCCAGTTTCAAGTTTTGTTTCAACAAATGCAGCTTCAAAGAGTTTCTAAACACTACCGATCTAATAGGATCAGTCAACAACCCCCAGTTCTATGCAAGAATCCTAATGAAACCTTTTTCACCGATTATTCTCCAATCTTTGTTTAAAGACATTCAGGGAAGTAAATGATTCTATTCCAAAGTTACCTTAACTATGAGGGGAAGCTTTATTCTTACATTTAACCAAAATCACTTCATCCCCATAACTTAACCCATGACTTCCACCTTCTGCGCAACGAAGAACATCTGTTTCTCCTTTCAAAGTGTGCTACCACATAGTTTCTTGATCTTCTTTTTTTAAGGCCTAATATTCTTGATTCCTTCCATATCTTGTCTTAGGACATACGTCTCGATCATCCAGATTGCCCATTTATAAACCTGCTTCAGGTTTATCGCTGGAAACAATTCTCCAGGTGGGCTCTGACTGTATAAATATTGATGGCACAAGCCAACCACATCTACTCATTCTTCCTATGAGCAGGCAAGCTAGAGACAGGCTTACAAAGATGTTGAATGAGTGTGTTCTGGCGCAAAATTGAAAAACAGTGTAAACTAAAGATAACACACCTAATACAAGAAACCTCATGCTAATTCTTCTCATATCACTTTCTAGTTGATGAGTTGAGAGCAGTAGTACACCGGCTTGTTGCATGTCTATTTTAGAGAGCCTGGCATAGACTAATCTACACATGCTTGGGATAAAACCAAGCACCAGTTGCATCTACAACAAAATATGCCAAAGCTAAGAAATGTACAAATATAAAATGACAATTTACAAGGAGTCTTTGTTTAGCAAACTTTCGCAGTTACAACCATGATGAAAAAAAAAATATCTATGACCCGTCTTTACATTTACAACCTCTGCAGGTCTGTAAGCAAAGGAAAGCTGAATTAAGGTCATAAGCATAGTTGTGGTTTCACTTAGTGATTGCTCTGCTTAACAATCAAGTTGCTTGTCCCAACAATGGTTGCTAAACAAGGACTCACCGTGTTGCATGTTTGGTGATTCAGAAACCACGTTATGATGAGGTCAGTGGTGGGATTCTACCAGTTCGCACTTGTTCGCTAGAACCAGTTGTTAACATTCTAAGCAGTTCGGAGAACCGGTTGTTAGAAGAAATTACTGGCCTAATCCTGTAAGGAAGGCAGGAAGGAAACATTCTGGTGTTGCTTACAGAAACTGCCTCTCCATTAACCCTTATTACATTCTTGGCAGGACTAGACTTCCTGTCTCAAGAACGTCTCTGAAGGTTTTTTTTCCTCCTTTGTTGGTACTTTGCTTCAAAGTTACAATGGCACTGAAAAAAGTGACATGACCATTTTTCACACTTACGACTGTTGCAGCATCCCCACAGTCATGAGAGGCCAGGCGAGAAGCGTGCCTCAATGTGAGTGATATTGAGTTGGCCATGCCCATCCAATAACATGACCAAGCCACGCCCACCAACTAAGCCCCACCCACAGAACCAGTTGTTAAAAAATTTGAATCCCACCCCTGGATGAGGTGAATAGGAGTGAACAGTGGAGTGTTTTGTGCAAATAGGAAGATTAGCTGCTGAAGGTAGTAAAATAGGATAGAAATAAAATGTGACAATCAGCAGGATGCTTAGCAAATGACTCAACATCAAGGTAGGAGTAAGACAAAGGAGTGTCATGTCCCTTTGCCTGTTTAATGTACAAGTACTTGTGATCTTAAGACGTTAACTAGATGGGGATATTGTGTTGTTATTTGAGAACATTTCCTGAAAACCCCAAAGGTGCTTTTTCAAGAGGCAACTGGACTTTCTGTTTTTTTTTTTTCTTTGAAGATGTTTCGTGTCTCATCCAGCTGAAGAAGCTTCTTGGATGAGAAATGAAACGTCTCCAAAGAAAAATACCAGAAAGTCCAGTTGCCTCTTGAAAAAGCACCTTTGGGACAACCATGACCTGGATGACTGAGAATCTACATAGACATTTCCTGAAAATGTTACCCTTGCACTATGCAACAAGCAAGGAATGATCTGAAGATTGACGTATCAAAATAGCTGGGTCTAATAGGGCAAATGAAATTATAAACTATCTTAAAAAAAAAAAAAGAACTAGCACAAGTTGATGAATCTCGGCTCCCTGGCCCAAAGTTTGTGAGAAAGTGAATGAAATTTAAGCATGCAAATGTTAGTAGAAATGTTGTGGGCAGTTTGTAGCCTGTGGCAAGGAATTTTTTTTTGTCAAACTAAGTGAAAAGGGCTGAATGCAGAGCATGGTTCTGTCACATGGAAGTAGGGTTACGTCAGGAGAAGCACGAAAATAAGCTGAATGTGGTGAGAATGGCTTATCATGGGGGTGTGCTGAAATACAGCCGAGAAAGGGTCAAGGATGAGTAAGTTCCAAATTAACTGGATTGAATACAAAAGGGAATGACCACTGGAAAGCACATTGACATCACAGAGACAACAAATGAGAACTCAATTGCAAAAACAAATACACAAAGACAGACTGAATGGGCTGAAAGAAAGAGAAAAATGGAGGAAATTGTGCCTGGGTAGATCTAAATGATCTTGGGGTACGCTAATTTTTACTTATGTTTACTTTTTTAAAATTCCCTGCCTTTAATTCCTTTACTATTTCTTCCTCTTTTTTTGTATTTTGCATTATCTTGTTTACTGCAAAAGGGAACAGTGTGGTGGGTATTTATATAACCAGATATGGAAATCAAAAGCGCTATTTGGTCTGCAAGCAAGCTGCCTGGCCTTGATTTACAAACAAGTCCAGTGAAAATGAGAGAAGATCGATACGGATTTTCCCAGTTAGCTTACTGAAACAGGTTAATAAAAGTTCTTGTTATTGTTCTTTTCAGTTCTTTGAGTTGAATTTTAAATTAACCCAGTTTCTTTTCTGGCCCATAAATAGATTTCATTATTTTGCCAGTTGTCAGTTCCTCCTTTTAGTTTCTTTTTGGATTCTTCAGAACATCATCTGTGTGTTTTACTTTGTGAACCATTTTGGAAATTAGAAAATACATACTCTTTATGAACTTCCTCTTCTACTACAGGAATTAAGACAATACCCTCGAGAGTCTGTGAGCTGATATTGAAGCTTAAAATAAAATATTTTTACAAGAAGAGGTGTAGAGCCATCTGCCTTTTTCTCTTTCCTGGAAACTTAACAATGTGGACTAGTGCCTTGGCTATGTTTCACCTCACCTTCAAACCTCCCTGAAAAACTGTCCGTAGCTCGGCAGCGTTTTTTCTTCTTGTTTCTTTTCTTGGCATTTGGGATGTCGATGGGCTGACTCGAAGGCATATCTGTCAAGAAATATGGCGTTTTAAAAGAAAGAAGAAAGAAGCATTACAATAAAGGTAACATTCGAACCTAGAAGCAATTAACACGCTACAACTATAGGCAAGCCTGATCTTGAACACAAGCTTTCATTTTGCCCAAAAACTAGGACATGGGGAGGGGCTTCTTTCTCAGGCTAGCATTTCTCACAGTTGCAGAAAAGAGGAGAATCAACCATGAGTGCGGCCTTAGCATCATTTGTAAAGGTCTTAATTCCACCACATGTCCAAAGCTTATAGATGTCCAATTTCATCAGCATTCACCACTGAGCCAAACAGGAGTCCACCTGAATCAAGATTAGACTGGCCATATGATCCAACACACCGATTCCCAATACAGGCAGTCCTCGCCTTACGACCACAGTTGAGCCCCAAATTTCTGTTGCCGAGAGGCAGTTGTTCAATGAGTTTTGCCCCATTTTACACCTTTTCTTGCCACCGTTGTTACGTGAATCACTGCAGGTGTTTTAGGTTAAGAACACAGCTGTTAAGTGAATCTGGCTTTTCCCTTGACTTTGCTTCTCAGAAGGTGACCCTGGGACATTGCAAATGTCGTAAATATGAACCAATTGCCAAGCATCTGAATTTTGATCAGGTTTTGACCATGGGGATGCTACAACAGTTGTAAGTGTGAAAAACAGTCATAAGTCACTTTTTTCAGGGCCCTTGTAATTTCGAACGGTCACCAAGCAAACTATTGTAAATCAAGGATTATCCATAGGCAGATTTCATCCCGTTTCCCCAGGGCTCAGAAACAACATGCTAACTGCAAAAATACACAATGATCCAATTTCTCCTGAATGGATTACAGCAGAATCACTTTGGAATGCAAAAAAAAAACCCAGAAAGGAGACCCCAGTTCTTTTGGGAGTCGGGGAGGAGGAGGCATGGATTTTGGGGAATTCATGTTTGTATTTTTGTTCACCACCCAGACTTTGGGTAGCCCTATGAATTTGATGAATGCATAAATTCATTCTTAACAAGCCTTCATCCCAGGCCACATCTGGCCCTTTGGCTGCCTCTATCCGGGCCCACGTGGGTTGCTTTTATTTTAAAGGTGACTGCTATTCCCCACCCCACCCCCAAATTACTTAAGTGGTCTGCATGCCTACGCACCTTCACTGCCCTACTGGTTCAGCCCTGCCCAACAGTCCCAGTTTCTCACGTGGTCCCCTGGGAAAATAAACGGCTCCCTCCTGCTTCACCCTGTCCCTCCCCACTGCTTTCTCAAAGGCAAAAGTGGAGCTCACCGGGCCGAGTGGAACATTCAAAATTGAAGACAGATTCCAGGTGAGTGGACTGAGAGAATTCCAGGTCGAAAGGATTCTGGCCCTGATGAGACGGAAAGAAAAGAAAAAAGGGGATTAAAAAAAATCAGTTGAAATAGTGTTAGAAAAGCAGGCAACCTTCCTACAGGATTTTCTTTCTACAACCAGTTGGATCAGAAGCAGTTGCTGGAAAAGAGGCTAGTGTAGCTGCTGTCAGTTTCAATTATGATTTCTCAAAGCTGTCAAGGATGCTCTCTTGACAATTCTGGCTTACTGAACTTGACTCTAGACAGTCGCTTGTTATGAACATCTAATAAAGACCTGCAACAGATCCCTGTGTAAAGGGATCTGTTAAAAGACACCCAACCCCACTAAAAAAAAATTATTCTAATAAGCATGCATAGTCCAGGCTGCTACCATGCATATTTAAATCATTTCTCACTGCAGGAGGAAGAGAATACTTTCATTTTTTCTGTAAACCATTTTGCATATTTTTCTTTGCCTAGTAAAGCCGTCTCTAGTGGGACTCTCCATTTACAGAAGGCCCAACCCAGGGAGGCTCAATCGATAAACCAGTTAGCATCAGTACAGTGCCAAGTAAAGACTTTTCTATTTTCCCAGGCTTTTTAATTGGCGTTCAATAGCATTTTAATCAATTTTTCTATGACTGATGTGCTGATTAGTTTATACAAGTAGTTCTCGACTTACGACAAAGGAACACAAAAATTCCACTGCTAAGCAAGGCAGTGTTAACCTGAGTTATATCCCATGTCACGGCCACAGTTTAACAAATCACTGCAATTGTTAAATGAGTCATGAAGTCATTATGAGAATCTGATATCTCCCATCAATTTTGCTTGTTGGAAGCTGGCTGGGAAGGTTACAAGAGGTGATCACATGACCCCCCAGGAACAGTGCAACTGTCATAAATACAAGCCAGTTGCCAAGTGCCCAAATTTTGACCATGTGACCTTGATTAACGACTGCTACAACCATAACTACTCTGAAAAATGGTTGTACATCACTTTTTTCAGTGCCACTGTAACTAATGGTGACTAAGCAAACGGTTGTAAGTCGAGGACTATCTGTATAGTTTTGATATCACATTTTTCATTTTCCAGTACATGCTTTTATTAAGATTATATTTTTAATCAATTTTATCATAAACGGCTGAGAGAGTTGCAGTTATTGGGCAGTTTAAAAGTTTGACTTCAGTAAGAAACAATATTATAAAAGGACATTCCTGTGAACTAGTAACATGTTGGGGATTAGATCTGCAGAGCTGAAATAAGCTAGTTGTTTTTTCTTAGATGGGAACCTTGACATACAAATTAGATTCAAACATGTTAAAGAAAGGGAGGAAGAAATATAACGAGAAAGGGCCATTCCCCAAAGAAGGTCATTAAGAAGAAGCTATAAGGCAGAACAAGCCACAGACTTGTCTAACAAGCTGGAACACCCTCCTGTCAGCTTCCCAGAGCCATCACGAAATGTACACAAAGGAAAAGGTTTATTTAGAATAGATAAGCTTCAAGGAAATCTCCAAGGCCACTATCAAACATCAAATGGTTCATTTGGGGAAAGCAGTTGGCGTTTGCTACACCCCAAACCCAGCCTTTCCCAACTGGGCACTGTTCAGGTGTGCTGTGATTGTAATAATTGGAATTCTGACCGAGAATTTAGCTGGAGAACCCCAGAAAGGGAAGAGCACCCCACCTGCACATTCCACAGAAGCAGGTGGTGGGGTCTCTCTCCAGCTTGTTCTCTTTACATATTTATATTTATTAATATGTCAAATTTATATGGCTGCCCATCATAGAAAAAGTGACTCTGGGTGGCATAAAAACAATTAACATAGTGCAGTGATTTCCAAACTTGACCACTTGAAGGTGTGTGGACTTCAGTTCCCAGAATTCTCCAGGCAGTCATCCGCCTGGGGAATTCTGGGAGCTCAAATCCACACATCTTCAAGTTTAAGTTTGAAGAACATTGCCTTAACTGCTTCAGCTCACTAGTATCATTTCCGAGGGCAACAAGGAAAAATCAAGTCTTACTTAGCTACACTTTTACATGGAAGGATTTTTATTTCATGTAGCTAACCCTTGATCAACATTTCCAAAAGGAAAAAGAGATAGTAATTATTATTATTACTTTTGGGAGAAATAAACTACAAAATGTGTAATAAACTACAAAAATGTGACTGTGCAAGATACCCTTAAAACTTTCAGAGGGTAGTATTCTATTGAAATACATAGCTAGTGCATGGAATTTGACAACTAGACCATTTAAACTGATTCTCCAGGCCCTTATTATAACTAACAAGCTGATATTGCAATATTGGGGAGATAAATGTATGAATAAATTCATTCATTCAATGGATTGAAGAGCTGATGACACATGCTATAAGATGATTGCTTAGAGATGTAGATTTTGTACAGATAAATATAAGAAAATATGGGGCTCATTTATAAGCATGATACTCATATAGTGCATTAAAAACACACACTCTTGAATGTATTACATAATTGTACATAGCATTGTAACTATTTACTGTTCCAACAACATATTTTTCTCTGTATCTTGCTTTTGTTGTATTTTTACACTTAGTTTTAAGCACTTGTATATTTTTGACAATGCATATATTTTGGTGTTTTGTTCTTTTTGCTTGTTATTATTTTAAAAGCAAAAAATAAATATTCAGGTATTCTTCAACTTACTACAATTGAGCCCAAAATTTATGTTGTTGAGGCATTTGTTAAGTGGATTTTGCCCCACGTTACGATCATTTTTACAGTTGTTAAGTGAGTCACTGCAGTTGTTAAGTTAGTAACACGGTTGTTAAATGAATCTGGCTTCCCCATTGACTTTACTTATCAGAAGGTTGCAAAAGGTGACCTCAGGACACAATAACTACTATAAATATGAACCAGTTGCAAACAACTAAATTTTGATGACCTGACTATGGGGATGCTACAACAGTCGTAAGTGTGACAAATGGTCATAAGTCACTTTTTTCAGCACTGTTCTAACTTTGAATGGTCACTAAACAATTAATTGTAAATCGAGGACATGTATTAAAAATAATTGTATTCCAGTCATATACAAACATGAACAAACATCTTGTTAGTTTTGTCAATAAAAGGGACTCCTTGAGTGCCCGAAACAATTCTGTAAATCACCCAACTATCTCTTCATTACAGCCTCTAATACAAGTAAGAGTTAATGAGCCGACAGGAGAACTAGCCAAGTTTTAAGAGCTTTCATATATTGTTGCCCAATGTCCAAAAAAACTGAAAAAGGACACACTAAGCTTATCCCAATCTGATTTCACTACTGATTGAAAAATCTATATAAAAAGTTGTGGAAGTGCGTAAGAACACGTATGGCACTTCCAGTTCAGTAAGATTTCCTGTCAATAAATAAACATATTAACTCACAACCTACACAAAAACATTCTTACAAAATCTGCTGAGGTGAGGCAGAACTGCGCAGAAAAATAAATAAATAAAAACTCTGAATTTCACTAATAGGTTTGTTGATGAGGACACCAGTCCAGACATGGTAGTATCAGATAGACATATTTAGGAATTATTGCTTCACTATCTAGAAATTTCATATTGCTTTCACAGCACAGCACAGCACAGCACAGCACAACACACACACACACACACACACACACACACACGAGATTTGCATGAACACCACTAAGCCTGGAAAAAAGCTGACCAGAACAGTCCACAAATCCCATAATGCTTTGTTTGGAGATTAAAATAATTATTACAGAAGATAAAATAGAAACCAAGACAAGTACCAGAAAGGGAACTGTTTAAAAGGCCTGGTGTAAAATATAAAATATATTTTAAAATATAAAATTAGAAAAAACATCCTTATGGGAGGAGAGGCAGGATACAATCTTAACGGAGGAGAGAGAAGCAAGATTCAGAAGTGAATAAGGCAACAACGTTTGGGCCAGGGTGTGTGATATGGAGTACATTGTGTTCTTGAGTAATCCCCGTGCAAAATTGCATGTGATAATTGCAATCCTGGCTTGATCACTTCTTACTGCTTTTTAATTCAGTCTGCACAACTGTTCTAAAGCAGGGGCGTCCAACCTTAGCAACTTTAAGACCTGTGGACTTCAAGTCCCAGAATTCCCTAGCCAACATAGGCTGGCTGGGGAATTCTGGGACTTGAAGTCCACAGGTCTTAAAGTTGCTATGGTTGGACGCCCTGCTTCAAATGTTGATACCTTCAGCCATCAAACTGCAATTGTGAGGCTTTGCTTGGCCTCCTGGTGCAGCCTCATTTGGGGCTTACTTTTTAAAAAATACATTTTTTTTTTAACGAAAGACCCAGCAAGGTTTCTCCTACTTCAAGACCTGCTACTCTCTGGAGAGGTCTCAGGGGTCCAGAAAATATTTCTGGGTGGTTATTTTTCTCCTTTCCTGGCATCCGCTTTCTTTCTCCTGTAAGGAAAAGCTAGGCCCAACATTGCAGAACGCAAAGGGTGCTTACATAACACACTGGCTCCACCTACCCGCCCACCCCTTCCAGGGCCTCACTGGCATCCAAACCACAAGGTACAACAGAAGTTACATCAACACAAGCGGCTTTAAGAAAGAAAAAAAAAATGGGGTGGCAGCATCAGGACACACAAAAACGTAAGCACATCCATTCAGGTCCTCCCAGCCCCCCAGTCTTTTCTTTCCAGCTGCTCTCCACCACAACGCACTCACAAACCAAGAACTTTAAACCAAACCACTGTTTGGTTCCATGCCAGGAAGCTGTGCTGTTTAAACAAAAACACTGCACCGGACAGGAATTTTGCAGCAAAATTTCCCCACCCTTGAACACACTGACTCATACATCTACCACAACCAATGCCTCAAACTATCTACCTTGATTGGCTTTTTTTAAAAAAAGAAAAAAGGCGAAAAAAATCAACACAGCAGTGCTAAATTAAAGTTAGGCAGTAAAAACAGGTTGGTAATACCCACAAGGCAACTGGAGCAATTATAAACCTGATGGAAAAACACCAGCAAGAAATTTCAAGTTAGTGCCCAAAATGTTCTGTGCAGCCAACCCAAACCAAATTCCGTAATCAAATTCAGAAACCAGAGTAAAGGGAATGGGTATTATATAATGCAGATTTAATTTGCAAAAGGACATCAAGAGAACAAACCCAATTCAGCAAAGTCTTTGTAGAGAGAAGGAAAAATGTGTGTTCATTCTACAAGGAAAATAAACAGATTTGCTTCTTCTAGAATCAAGATTCCAATTCTCAATTTTATTTTCTGCCTATTTTTTCTTTTTTGTAATTGGGGGGTCTGAAATTGGGGGGTCTGAAAATAAATGTTCATTGTAGTTTTTCCCCTAGGAATTATGGACATCATAGCTAACTCTGCAACTCCTACCCCTTTTTATTTATTCTCTTGTTAGGTAGGCTAAAATTGATTGAAAGCTTAACGGAATGCAAAGGATCTTGAACCTGGATCTCCTTGATGTGAAATGACTTATTAACACAACATTGTTTCCTTTAACAAGAACATTAGTGTCCTACATCATCTATTTATTTATTTGCTGAAAGGCCATAGACCAAAAGAGGGGGGAAATTCAGCTGAATTCAGTTCTGAAGTCTGTTACTTTCTGAGGTACGTCTAGCTAGGGCTTTGGATTTTGAGTAGGAGCAAGGATTGCAAATTCTCATTCAACCATATTTCCAAGACATCAGTCTTAAGCCCTGGTAGGTCCTCGTGGTTTATACTGGCTGAATAACCCACAGCAGCTGAGTTTTACTACATAATAAGCTATGGCCCAACCAAGTTAGTTCACTTAGTGCAGAAGGGAACTTGTTCTCTGACTCTCAAATCTCTCTGTAGACTAACTCACAAGGTTGTTGTGAGAGTAAAAGGCACTCTTCATGGAAAAAAACTACAAGAGACAATTTCTTGTCAAAATTCACAAGCAATGGAATTTGAACCCTAACTACCAAACTCCTAACTATGGGTAGCAGGAGTTTAAGCTAGATTTGTCTATAGGCCAGGGTCTTGAAACTTAATGTCAGAGCATAATTGTTTGATTGCTTAATAAGTACCAACAAAATCTAAAATGGCCTATTGAAGGAAACCTTAATCTAAAGATAGGGTTTACCCATCTTAGCATGTGGACCAACTCCCAGAATTCCCTGGCCAGAATTCTGGGAGTTGAAGTTCATGCATCTTAAAGTTGTCAAGGTTGGGAAATTCTGGTCTAAGAGGAAGCAAGTTTTCTGAGTATTCCCAAAAGCAGCACCAGTAATTACACTGCAAAAATCATTTAGAGAACCTGGGATGAAGGTGACTTATCCTGTTGTCTCTATATCCTCCATCTACAGTTGTAGTAGTAAACCAGTATACTGTATATATTGCATACTATATACAGTAAACCAGGATGGTCTCTTACTACATGCCTAACAATCAAAGGAACATTCTTTGGATTCTAGGAAGATTTGTGCAAATTTCCAAGGCTGCCCCCATGCTCAATTCTAGACAGTCATCAGTTGTTCAGAAGTGCCCCATCAGGACTAGCAACTTTGAAATAAAATAAATCAAATGGGAGCTATTTTAACCTGGGTGCCAGCTTGCAAACAAATGTAGAATTACATTGTAATTCTACAAATGAATTATAAAAGAATAGAATTATTGGTCAAGTGTGACTGGACACACAAAGGATTTGTCTCCAGTGCATAAACTTTGTGTACATACAAGCAACAAATGATAAATCATGATCATAAAATACAATCACAAATCATAAGATACAACACTCAGTGATACAAAGAGAAAAAGCATTCCAAGTACAATTATGTACTTTCTGAGTTCAGCTTGTCTGATGAAGACAAGCATTTACCCAGCTTTCAAGAAGGACAAACCCAACTTAAGCCACAGAAGCTTCTATTAAAAAGTAGAGACCGGCCCAATCACCCTACCTCAGTACCCAACAGAGCCTGCCCTCACATGCTGCCAACCAGGACGCCCATAATTAGGAGCAGCCAGCCCATGGACTGACAAGATAGGGGAGAAATCCTCATAGGCTGAACCCCATGCTTTGAGCAGAGTGCTGACTGGCATCCCTGCAGGGTAAAATTCATAAGCAGGACAGGTTTTTGAACTGGCTGGGAGGCTGTCTCAGGCTCAGTTACTCCACCTGAACAATGGGAACAAGGCAACTAGCTGGAAGAGACAGGCGGGCGAGCCCACAATTGCACTGTTGCAATCTCTGTTGTTCAAAAAGGCCACCAAGCACAAACCACGCACATCACACCTATAAATCACCTTGAATTTCTACCCGACAATGTAGGAGCACAGAATAAATGAATAAATGCTGATTATTTTCACACAAGTTTTCCATCACTTTACTAATTTATTTTGCCAGATGTACCTCTCTTTAGTATCCCCCAAGGTGGGGCCTTCAATCTGCATTCTTCAAAACCAATTGTGTTGTTTTTTTTCCAGCTACCCACACAGCTTTGGTATATCCCCGAATCTTCAGGCATGTTTGGACATGTCAGCAATAGCTTTCTTTACATCACTCAAAAGAACTAAAAGCTTATCTTTACATTTGGGGGGCAAACAGAAAATTCCAATCCACTGTTACTCCAACAATAACAAAAAGAGGTAAGGGATTCTTTGGAAAATGAATAAGAGAAATAGGAGTTTGAACAATTGCAAACTATCATTATTGTTTAAAAAAAAACAGGTGAGCTTGCCTTCATTACAAACATGTCTCTGCAAAATCAGAGGTTGCAATAGCGACATTGGGGCTAGAACTGCAGATCACAACCTAGGATTATGCTTACGTCAAGCTTCTTCAAAAGCAAGACGAAACAAGGATATATTCTCTTTAAAATCCAAGACAGGATTTTTCTTGGAGTCCAGAAAAGGCACACTGAAACCCACTGCTATGGAAAAGTATAAATTAAACTGATTTGTAGCCAAAATTATAATCTCTAAACACACATCATGTTAAGAGCACATACTGAACACAGTAGCTGTGCTCACACAACAAATTAAGCCATGGTTGATTAACTGCACTGTATACATGGCTAAAGTAATATTAATTATTAAAGTATATTATTAAAGTAATATTAATTTATTAACCCGCATGCCAGGGTTTACAAAGCTGATGTATTGGTAATTGCTAATAAGCAAATCATACTATATTTTAATTGAATGTGTGAATCCAATCTGTGCGGGCAATGTTCTTAACATACTTTTTTCTTCTTCTATTCAACACATACACAAGCCTTTACTTTATTTCACTTTAAAATCTGCAATTTGCTTTTTCAACATTATTGTTCCTTAACTTTCTCTATTCCTGCCCCTCCCCACAAACTTAGTTCTTATTAAAATAAAATATTAACTACTTGGAAGTCAGGACTCACTGAGTTTATCAAGTAACAGCTTTTGATTCAGCAAATTCAACTTGGATTTGGAAACCATGATTAATAGCACAGAACTGGTCTTATCCATGGTTAAGCAAACTAGGAATTAGTCTAATGTAAACAAATGCCATCCTAAATTGAAACACTCATTCGTATATGCCAAACCTGAACACTGGAAATTCTGAACATCAAAGTCTAAGATGGAGTTGGAAGATTACAAAGACTAGTGTTTCTGAACATTAGCAGCTTGAAAATGTATGGACTTCAACTCCCAGAATTCCTCCTGCCAGCAGGAGAGTTAAGGTCCCCATGTCTTCAAGCTGCCAACATTGAGAAATACTGGAATAGACTGTGCTTTGAAAATAATATAATGTACCACTTTTGGCACCAGGTATTTGCAAAGTATTGGCAAGAACTATACCAATGGTGGTATAGTAGGGACTTAATGGTTCATATCCATGATCTGATTTTACAATAAGCACATAGAGACTATAGGTAGTCCTTGACTTACAACAGTTCATTTAGTGATTGTTCAAAGCTACAACAACACTGAAAAAAGTGATTTATGACCATTTTTCACACTTACTATCCTTGCAGCATCCCTATGGTCATGTGGCCAAACTTCAGGTGCCTGGCAATTGGTTCCTATTTACTATGGTTGCATTTTTCCAGGGTCATGTGATCAACTTTTGCAACCTTTTGACAAGCAAATGGGGAAGCCAGATTCACTCAACACCTGTTACCAACTTAACATCTGCAATGATTCACTTAACTGTAGCAAGAAAAGTTGTAAAATGGGGCAAAATTCACTTAGCAAATGTCTCACATAGCAACTGAAATGTTGGGCTCAATTGTGGTCATAAGTCAAGGACTACCTATATTTGGGGATCCTGACTATTTCCATTTCTTCCCCAGGAATTTAAGAACCATATGCCCCAATTCAGTACTACTTCAAATGTAAAGTGACAGAACACCAACTCCTTTGTACAAAACCAAGAAACCTTGAGTATCAACAACATTGAATACTGGGAAGGTGTCCATTAAATTTAAATATATTTTATAAAAAAACTACAAAAATCTCAATGGAGAGAGCCTATTCAGTAGTCACAAAATATGCTAGAACAGGAGGGGAATATCAAGAAATTTGGAAAACCAGATCATGTGCAACATTTTGTGCCAAAGCCTGCAGAAACACTTGTAAATTTCTACCTGTTGGAAATATTTTAGGAAATATTATGTATCCCCAAAGGACAGCTACCTCACTTCTTCAGAGATTGACTCTTTAGTGTGACTCACAAAACTTGCAAGTACAACCAACAAAAGTTCAGTTTCTCCCCCATTTCCTCTTTTTACTGACAACAGCCAGACATTCTCCCTGCAATTCAGAACTTGCTGCCATTTGATACAGAAAGCTAAACCTCACAGGCTTATTTTTTACAAACCAAAAGCAAAGTAGCAAAGATTTAAAACATGAAGAAATTCATCTGATTTTATACCATTTTAAAAAAATGAAACGGTCACACCGTACCTTAAAAGAAAGATGGAAGCCTTTAAGCTCGGTTTTCTTCTGCACCATCTTGAGATCTTAAAAATGCAGGAATATTCCAAATAAGAGAATGGGAGAAAAATAGTCAAAGAAACAAGGAAGGGACGAGAGAGAAAAAAAAATTGGATGAAGCTAGTCCGGATTGGTTGAATAAGACCCTGGAAGAGAGAAAGGGGGGTGGGGGGAGAGACAAATGTCAGGATTCATAGAACAATTTTTGGCTAATTAAACAGCTGATAAAAAGAATGATCAGGCTAACCAAAATATGACAATGAAACATATGAAGTCTATAAACACAGAGGACAAAGAAGAGCTAGAAAGAGACCCAGAAAAAGGCACCCCTCCTTTCAAGAAAGTGCATTCTGTCCTCCCCCAACACACACACACACACACTCTCATACAGAGTCGCAACCTTGCTTTCTTAGGGGTGAGAATTACAATGGAAGCTACACAGACCTTTCCCAATACGAAGCAGCACTTTAAAAGAACCATCTTTTTTAAAATGATCCTTGCATCCTTTTAGGGGGCCACATACCCAAAAATTATTCTTCAAAATATAACAGAAGGCATCCAACCCCCCCACACACACACCCCCACAAATGTTTCCTGTGATCTGTTGGACCCAGGGACCTTTTTTTTAAACACAGGAAAGTAAATGGAAGGAGGTGTGAGTAGACTGCAGCAGGTTTGTATTCCTTTGTGAAGCAATGCACCCAATGGGAGATTATTATTATTTTTTTGGTTCCTTTAGAAGATCTGCAGCGTTATGTATTATTCGAGCAAATTTAGACGTCAGGGGCTGGGAGAGAAGGAACATCCTAAAAGAAGGGGGCGTGTACAATATACACACCTCTTTTTTTCTTATTTACAAAATGACTGACCGAAAATACAGCCACCGATTTTGCAAAATAATGACTGGGGGGGGGG